CAGAGATAATAATATGCACAAAAAACAAGACAGAGCAAAACAAAGCAACAAAAGAAAAGAAACAACAACAAAAAATCAGTGACAAAAAATAGAAAAGCTGGTAAATAGTTCAAGGTCTGTTTGTTAAATTTTAAGGGTGTTTTCTGGTGGATTCTGATGAGTCTATTTTTGGTATTCCCTTGGGACTTCCTTGCTCTGCTCCCCTTGCTGTTCTGTTGCATGCCCTTACTGTTTTGGTTCGGTGTGGTGGGGTCAGATCAGGTGCAATTCTCGAACTGTGTGTCCAGTGTTGTCCCTCGTAGGGCTATGGGGTCAGTGAGGGATGTCCTATCTCATAGTGGGGCCGGCCTTATGGTCCTCTCTGTGCATTGGCTGCTCTGAGCAGGGATATCGTCCTCAAGGCTTGGTGGGCCAGGATGTGTTCCTCTCTTCCTCCCCCTTCATTTGCTCCTGTGTGCTGTGATCAGACATGTCCCTCTCTCTGAGCTGCAGTGTCAGTGCTGATCTCTGAAGTGAATTCTTCTGGGAGGAGGGGGGCTTACTGCCTTTTTTTTTTACAGCTTTGAAGAGCTTACAAAAAAATACAGAAATGATTTCTCCTTTGACTTTTAAAATATATAGTATAACAAATAAATAAGCTTGACATAAGTTTTCCTCAAACCACTTGACCCTGCGATGTTCAGGAGTAGGGGGTTATACTTTATCTAATGCCTTTTGTCCAAGGTTACAGGTGCATTTAGGTTTCCTGTCTCTTTTTGAAGCGGATCCCTGGTGGTGCAGTAGGTCACACACTGGGCTGCTTACTACAAGATCAGTCGTTTGAAACCACCAGTCACTCCGATGGAGGAAAATGAGGTTTTCTATTTCTGTAAAGAGTTACAGTCTCAGAAACCCACATGGGCAGTTCGACTATGTCCTACAGGGGCCTTATGGGTTGGAATTGACTCGAGGGCAGTGAGTTTTAGAGGCGTGAGACTCCTTTTAGGTCAATTTTGATGGTGCTTTCTGGAAAAGTGTTTTGAGTTTTCCGCATGGTGAGCACTCCCAGAGGCAATCGTTTATGCTTGAGGGCAACAAAGGCAAAGACACTCTCACCTGTGGTTTTCCCAGACTTTGGAGGCCCCACGATCACAATCCTCAGTGGCAGAGTAGGCTTAGGTTTGGGCTGTCGGATATATTTGATTGGGTTCTTCATAAATTTTTCCTTAGTTTCCTTACTAGATAAAAAATAAATATACTGACGATGGATTACAGGATAAATAGGATTCTCTGGACTTACAATTGGCTTGAGAGTCTCTCCTTCACTTAGCTGCAATAGATACAATTTTATAAGTTAGTTTTATAATCAATACACCATCAATTTCGTAGTTAGCTTTAATTTATTCAGCATTTTCTCCAAATACATTTTTGAAAGGTTGTAAAAAAAAAACATCTTTCTTAGATACTATGAAAAGTAATTATAATAAAGTACTAATATCAAACAACTAAAAAATACAAATGAGTTTACACCCACATGCAATCAATTTACCCTTTTTTCTTTTTTAAGATAGTTTTATTGGCACATAATTCACATAGTATACAAGTTAATCATTTAATCATATCAGACAGAGTTGTACAATCATCACCACACTCAATGTCGGAACATTTTCTTCTTTCTTGTACTCATGGTTATTAGCTCCCCATTTCCCTACAACCTCCCCTGCCATACCTAAGGTTAATCATCTTAGGTAATGATTAATCCAGTTACTGTCTTTATAGATTGGCCTATCCTGGATTTCATAGACAGAAACACACACAAAATAAAACCACCACCAACAAAACCAACAACAATGACAAAATAAAACAGAAAAACCTCAATTGAAGAGAAAATAGAAAATTTAAAAAGGGAAACAAGTCAAAAGTAGGTCAAAGGAGAGATCAAATGATAAAGTATTACATTGTTGCCTAACTCCATCTGCCATATGGTCTTTACAGTGCTCTGTGTGATAGCAGGCTATTCACATCCCTGGAGTCTGATCAAAGGGAAATCACCAAAGGCTTCATCCACGTGGGAACACTGCACATGGATTTTGGGCTTCCACTGCCATCCATAGCCTTCTGTAAATCAGGTGTTCAAAATTTAAGCTCTGTTACTGTTCCCTTCTTAAGATTTAGATTTTTACATATCGATATGAATGAGGGGGAAGGTGGAGAC